GTATATATGTGTGTGTGTGTGTGTATGTATGTATGTATGTGTGTATGTATATATATATATATATATATATATATACACACACACACAATACAGTTTTTAGTGTTTATTGAACAAGCACTATGGATTGTATATCACTATGTCAAGGGTGTGGGTATATGCTACACGAAAAAAATAAAATATATATATATATATATATATATATATATATATATATCATTTATTTTTATGTAACATGTATCCACACCATTGACATAGTGATATAAAATCCATGGTTCATTAAACACCTCTCTGTGATGAAATGAAAATCAAATTGCAAAATTTTCATGTATTTTTGCATAAATGTTTCCGTTTCAATTTGCAGGATTTTTTTAAATTAATTTTTTGGCTTTGGTGGCCTTTGCTGGCATTTTGGATGCAGACAAAAGCTTGCATAACCTTCACAGATGCAATTTAAAGAATATGCTGTCACTGTGTAAATAATAATAATTATGTTAGTGAAGTGTAACATTAAATCTCTACACCTGTTAGCAATAGATTGACTGACTAGCACAGTGTATAGGTTTAAATTTTCAAATCTTGCGAACTTTGTGAGTTGCAGTCTTTTGTTATGACTGAGTCCAAGAGAAAGCCTATTTCCTTGAATAGTGTCTTGTATTGTATTGATAAATAGCAATGTTTTGTGCTTTTTCAGCATGAAATTCTGGGAAACAGTGATTAAATACACATAGTATACCTTCTTTATAATGTGTTATGACAGCAGTATTGGAAATGCTTACAGAAGTAATTAAATATATTGTATATTTCTGACTTTTTTTTTTTTTCACACTGGAATTAGACTATTTGTCAGAAGCAATACTATATCTGAATGACAGAAATATTGCGCTATATACTTTCCTCCCATCAATAAACATTTGTAAAAATGTATATTCTTTCATTCATGGTAGTGGATTCTTGAGATTTAAATCGGGTACAGGGCATTTATGAAAATCTTTAAGGTGACTATTTGACATATTAATAGTTATGTCATTGTATTAGATGTTTTCAACAAGACTAGAACATTCTATTGACACAAACGATAAAAGTACTGAAGTTAAAATGAATGGTATTGGGAAGCTCTGTGTTGCTGCATTCTCGCACGTCAGAGTGCAGAATAGTAAAAGGTGACCATCTTTGTTCGTCATCATGTCACAATGTTTCATAGAGAAATATGGATCTTGATCCACCCTAGATAAAACTTTTCGACCAGCAACATTTAATATACCAAAAGCATGTAATTAGAAAACCATTTCAAAACCGTGTAATTATGCCAAGGCTGTGCCACCAAAAATGCTCAGTGATCTCTGCTCTATGGAAACTGGGAGCTTTGCTGATTTATCTGTGCCCCCTGTTACTTTATTCCCTTTGTCTTCTCCCCAGGTACTCTGCTCATTCTTCCCAGCACCACTAGTTGCTTTGCTCTCTCCTTTTTAACCAGTTCCTTTTTCTACCAATACCATGTTTCCTTTTGACATCTCCTTCCTATATCTTTTGTTGTTTTTCTTCTCATTGGAACAAACAATGATCATTGTAAACAAAGGCGAGTGGAACAATGGTTCAGGACTCTGCGTCTTTGAATGTCATGCTTTGCTTGGAGTGTGATCAGTTGAGCATGACATCTTACCCTGATTCATCAGTCTAGATAAACCATAACCTGTGAGCCATGCTTCTTCTTCTTGACTCTCACATTTTAAATAAAAACTCCAAGCACCATAATCAATACTGAGCGCTGTACTGGTTGTGGTACTAGGAGTGCTCTGGTCGCCCCACCATGTAAGCTGTAATACCGTGTGCTAATGGTTTGACTTTATACCTCAGATCCACCAATCACGCCCACCAGTGAGTCGGAAGCTCTTAGGCAGGAGCGTCCATTAGCTCTCCTAAGCAGTCCTGCCAGATTTAGCTCAGTGAAGAGCAATTCTGACTGCAGAAAGTCAGGTCTCATTGACCTGCCCTAGGTGTAAGCAGTCAAACTGTTAGCAAACATTGGAGGGCGCCCGGACACTCCGACACAATAACCACTCTATGGTGCTGGCTGTCCATGGCTAGGTCTTTGGCTGAGTGTGCGTGTTCAGCTCCTAATCAAGAACTTCCATCTCTCCTGTAACTGTAAGGGAGGTGTGGTAGCAGTGCCCAACCATTCTAAAACAGTTTGACCACTTTTAATAGTGGGGTGCCAGAGTATGGCTGCAGTGTCCTTTCCATAGCTTGCCCTACGGCAAGTAACTGTTCAGGTATCCAATAAGATTTTTTTTTTTTTTTCCCCTCACATATGCCATTATAGAAATAACTTCGTAATGAAGTATATATGACTAATCCTATCCACAGTTAGTAAACACAGTGTCTGTGGCACAGGGACCATGTCTGGATTAAGCAAACGCATGGAAGAAAAACAAACCACTCTGAGGATGGTCAAAATCTTAAATGCTTGATTCTGTTCATAGTGGAGGTTTCATGTATTTTTTTTTTTTTTTTTCATTTATCAGATGTCTACTTATGAAATCTGTTAGCTAAACTACAACTCTCGAAATGTCGTGTTTGTTTTGTTGATGAAGCAGCTGAGATAATGTAAACTGCAGGTTAGGATCCAGCAGGAAGGAATTATTTGGAGAATGGGGGGAAATGGGACTAGAGAGAATGCTGGAAAACATTTACTTTTGTTTTTTTTTTTTAAAAACTAGACCGAATTTGTCATGCAAATATACAGCTGACTAAATTTGTGTTGATGCCTGAAGTGCTCCTTTAAGCTATATTGGCTAAATTGACAGTATCCACTTACTCAGCAACTTTTCCCACTTCAAACGTTTTGCAACTAAATTGTCAATTCAACACCATTAACAGTTTATTGAATAAAGCAATAATTTATTTATGTTAAATCTTGCTGGATTGATTTCAAAGTAAATGAATTTACTATTACAGTTGCATATCAATATTGTATATTGATATGTAGTGAGATCTTCAATACAAGCATTCTATTATTAGTTTATATTTACATGATTTCACAAGATGACATGTATATACTGCTTCACCAGAATGCAATATGGCATATTACAGAGCATAGTTGTAATGTAATAAATATGCTATTAATAGCTGATCCTTTCAGTGCAGAGTGCAGCGAACGTTGAGGTACTTATTCTTTTGGTGGCAGTATTTCACTGCATGGAGTCAAGGATGATGCATTGTCTGAGTTACCCTTTAACTGCTATTTTTGCATAATCTGTTTTTACCTGTGCACTTAGAAATCCTCCCTGTAATATAGTTTACTACTAACGTGTAATCTGATGGAAAAATATGTTTCTTGCATTGAAGTTTGTTTATGGTTTGTTGACTTGTTTATTTTGTGATGGGTGATATCATGAGTGCAGGTGACCTAAGTAGCAGAAATGAAAAAATTTTTTATTTATAAAATATTTTACCGGGGGGCGTGTCCTGGAGCTCAACCGCAGTGGTCGCATGTCAGAGTAGCTCTGTGCTACCCGGGCCTACGTTTAAGCGAAACGAGCTCCCAAACATAATAAGATACGAACCTCACTACACAATGTCTCAACAAAAAGGCAGAAGTCAGCAGGAAAAGGGCAAGGAAAAACAACTTCTTCAACATAAGAAACACACAATCAAAAACTGCGGAAGAGACCCAAGATGGCGCCCACGGAGAAGCCAGTGAGACACAAAGAGAGACAGCAGAAGATGCTCCAGTGGCACAAAACATACTGAAACAAATGCTGGACGCAATGCACAACAAAATACAACATACCATCCAGACCTCTCTGAAAGAAATTAAATCTGATTAAATCCTGGAACTGGGCACCCAAACAGCCACACTCGAAGACAAAATGGCGGACCAAGAGGAAGCCTGTAATGACATGAGGGCGAACGTGGAGGAAATCCAAAGCACCTTGATACCAAAATGGCTGACATGGAAGACCGGTCACGCCGGAATAACCTCCGGCTGAGAGGTATACCGGAATCGATCGGCGTGGCAAACCTACACGCACACCTGCAGGGGCTGTTCAAAACACTACTCCCAGCATAGGCGTGCACAGCCTATTGCATTAGGGTGTGCACCCTAAAGCACAAGTACATGCCGCGTATATATATATATATATAAATATATACACATACACTGCTGTGTGTGTGCTGTGTGAGGATGCTGGTAGTGTGCTATGTGGGTGAGGGTGTTTGTGTGTGTGTGTGCGTGCGCTTGTGAGGGTGCTGTTAATGTACTGTGTGTGATGGTGCTGTTTGTGGGTGTGTGCACTTGTGAGGGTGCTATTAATGTACTGTGTGTGAGGGTACTGGTAGTGTGCTGTTTGTGTTTGTTAGGGTCCTGTTTGTGTTTGTGAGGGTACTGTTAGTGTGCTGTTTGTGTGCTGTGTGTGAGGGTGCTGTTTGTGTGCTGTGTGTGTTTGTGAGGGTTCTGTTTGTGAGGGTGCTGTGTGTGTGTGTGTGGGTGCTGTGTATGTGTGTAGGTGCTGTGTATGTCTGTAGGTGCTGTGTGTGTGTGGGTGCTGTGTATGTGGAGTGATTGTGGAGGTGGGGGTACATTACTTAATATCCCCCCCCCCTTCTTACTTTATGTAGGGTTGGGGGATCCTTGTTGCTGTTGCCTTCCCTAGTGGTCCAGTGGAGGTGGGGGCAGATTACTTGATATCCCCTCCTCCCTTATTAACTTATGTAGGGAGGAGGGACCGTGCTGCTGCATTCCCTGGTGGTCCAGTGGTGAGTGAACTCGTGAGATTTGAGCGTTGCCGCTGGTAAGAGCTCCCCGGGTCCTCTCCTGCCTCTCTCACTGCCTGTGGGTCGATGGGGAGGGAGGCTGAGATTAGAGCCGGCGCTTGGATAGCGCCGGCTTTGCTTGATCCGACGGTCTCAATACATAGGCGTGCCGCGGGGATTAGGGTGTGCCCAGGCACACCTGGCACACCCCATGCGCACGCCTATGACTCCCAGATGTTCCTCAAGACATGCTGCTCCTAGACAGGTCCCACAGAATACCAAAACCGCGGTTCCTGACAATAGGCACCGCGTGATGTCCTGGTGAGATTACATTATTTTCACATTAAAGAAGACCTAATGAGAGCCAGCAGACAGCGCCCTAACCTACCAAACCAATATCAGGGGACAGCCATATATGCAGACATATCTGCAGCCACCCTGAAAAGCATGAAATCATACTCGGGAATCACTGAACAACTGCGCTTCCACAAGAAACCATACAGGTGGGGATTCCTGGTCAAGCTGCTCGTTATGCACGAAGGAAAGACCACAGCCATCACATCTCCAGAGGCCGGACTACAGGCCCTCAAAGCTTCCACCAACGACCACAAACCCCACAGCACACCGAGACAGACTCACACCCTCGTGAAAGAGGGTCGCAAAGAAATGAGCAACGGAACACAAGCAGGCTGCAAGACGTGGCAAGTAAAGCGATTAAGACATTGGGACTGAACTCACAATTGGGGGTTCCACGAACCCCGGGGGCCAGGGGTCCAGCCAAATCCCAACTCTCAACCCGCAGATGGCAACGATGCATCAAAGAAACCCAGGGCACTCCCAAAACTGTCACCCATAGACAACATTATTGTTTGTTAGCTCCAAAATAGAATGCTTACGGAGCAAACCGCACTATGAAGTAATACAGGTTAGGCCAACTGACCGGTATGCACAGGCATGGAAGCACAGTGCTTCCTACCCCACGGCGCCTTTAAATGGCGCAAGGCCATACACAAGGCACAAAAGTTAATTATTTGTTTAGTTATTTTTTTGGTTTATTTAGGATGTTTAGTTTAACTGTTTCACATTGTGCACACACCAGACACACAAGGTATCAACACACGCCCCCAACAAAGAACAAAGACATTTTCTTCACAAATTTTTTTTTTTTTTTTAAAACTAGCACCCCTACAAAAGGGAATAGGAATAATTTGCAGAGCCCTTAACCATGTCATGGAACCAGTGATGGACACCACAACCACTCACACCACAACTAGACTGAGACCACTCAAAAGACAGAATAAAGCAATACTTAGACTACTACAAGACTACGACTATTACGATGCATGGAGGGCAACACACGTACGGGAAGGGGATACACTTTCTTTTCACCAGTACACAATTCGTACTCTAGGATAGACCACATACTGATAACAGGCCAACACTTAGAACAGATTAGAGAGTGCTCTATAGAGTAGATCACATGGTCAGACCATGCCCCAGTACTTGAGACTGAATGACTCCCTCCTTTCAGATCCAAACTTCACAAACGAAATAGCAACCGAACTTACACTCTACTTCAGATAACAAGACAGACCAGACTTCACACAACACAGTGTGGCTAGCACACAAGTCCGTGATTAAGGGGCTACTGATAAAAAGGGCAGCTTTCCTTAAAAGACAAGCGCAGGCTCAGATGAGGGACTGGCAAAAACGACTCCAGGACCCTACACTCCAAAACCAATTAAACCAATCACACGAATTAAAGAAACACATAATGCAAATTACACGTGCCATCCACAAGCAGGCGCTAGATAAGACTGGGCACTACCTACACAGACTAAAAGCAACCCAATACGCACAGGGAAACAAAACTGGCAAACTGGTGGCACAACAGCTACAGGCTAAGCAGGCAAAACAAAAAATAGCACACCTTAGCTCAACAGCCAGAAACAAAGTTACGGCCTCCAAAGATATCAGCAACACCTTCGCACAATACTACGCCTCCTTATACAACCTAGCAAAAGACACTCAAACCCCAACAACAAGCCATACAAAACTACCTACGCTCCATCCCAAACAACTGCTACTATAAAAAAATTCCAAAAAATCTTCACACCACACTAGCCCACATCATTACACTCCCAAAACCGGGGAAACCACCTACGTGCCCACAAAACTTCCGTCCCATCTCCCTCTTAAACACGGACGCCAAACTGTATGCCCAAATTTATGCAACACGACTTGGAAACATACTGCCGCATATCATACACATCGACCAGGTACGGTTTATAAAAAAAATAGACAAGGGGGCGACAATACCAGGAAAGTACTGGACATACTATACAGTGCCCAACACCTGAAAACGGGATCCGTGACGGTATCACTAGACATAAAGAAAGCCTTTTTTAACCGCCTGGGTTGGGAGTTTCTGGAGCAGGACCTCATTAAGGTTAGGGCACCGGAGGGCTTCATCTCCGCGGTCAGGACACTATACAATGCACGATCTGCAAGAGTGGTAAACGCAGGATTTGTCTCCGACTACTATACGTGATGTCTCTTGAGCCACTGGTGATAGCCATAAGACAACACTCATCAATTCACGGCATACAGGTGGGCGACAGGGAATACAAAGCGAACCTATTCGCAGACGATGTCCTACTAACATTGACACAGTCCCATATATCTTTGAGATAGAAGTTGTATTGTGCTTTAAGGCGCTTAAGAAATTATGTATAAATAAATAATATATGAGCTGCTACCACCAATGTGCAATTCTCTCACTAATTGACACAACAAAACAGAATATAACAGTGGACTGTGTGATACAACATCAACCCCAGTCCAAGGTGGAGCGCTAAAAAGATGCTTGTAGATAACTCACCACCCCCCTCTCCTTTTTGGATTTGTTGAAACCTGGAACTACAATAGTGAAGTACTGTGAGGTGATGATAAAATAGATGTGCAAGTGTATAGAACCACTCACTTGGTACTGAGCCTTAACAGGACAGGCTCAGATCACTTGAACGAGTGTGTTTTTACCAGGCAAAACAAACCAGACAATGGATGGAAAAACTTCTAGGTCCTTTAGAAATAAGAGAAACCGAATATGGTGTAGTATATAGGTGAATAATAGTTGAGGTGATAAAATATATAGAACTGCTCACCTGCTTCAGAGCCAGTGACTCGGGCTCTGAGTATAGAAACGTAGGGACCACTAAGGGGGGTACCAAACCCTATAGGTGAAATCAGGAACACAACTTATGTCCAGGTGCAGGATATAAAAAGTAAAATTTATTCTATGCAATAAAAACAAAAATATAAATATAAGTATATATAAAAGAGTTCAGGTCCTCCTGGACGTCCGAGACGCGTTTCGCCGGTAGGCTTCCTCAGTCGGTATGTGTTCCTGTATTTCTGTTCTTCTTTTATAGCTGGATAAGGGCTCTGTAATTGTGGATTAATTGCGGCTGTGTTCCGCTTTTGTCATTTCCGCTTACGTCATCACTCGGCGCTGTCGCTTTTTGATGTCCATATGTTGTTAGTCTGCTGGCGCCATATTGAGTTAGGGCAACAACGTCTATATATACATGTACATCGTTTCTCAAATCGGGAAACGACCGGAAAAAGCAGACAGAGATTATAAACATATAATTAATATTAAATAAGAGTACTCTCGTTTACATTTAACACCATTTACAGAAAAAGAATTTTTCCATATTCATGTATAATTTTAAAAGTCTCATCTTATAACTTGTTGTATTTAGGTTGTAATTCTTTTTAAACTAATGAAAATATATTAGATTCAAATACACTTTGGGATCTTTTTAGATCAATAAATTAATATATTACCTTTCAAATTCAGTTACCTATATTAAATTTATGGACTCTTTTAATGTTCAGAATAAAAAATCATAAATTTAATTGAATTCATCTTATTTTGATTTCTGCTATAGTTGGTCATTATTTCATGTATACAAATAAAATTAAAATTAAATGTTTATTAGCACACTAAATCCACACCAAATAAAAGTCCATATGTCAAAAAATAAAAAATAAAATAAAAAGCACCTACATATACATGAAGATGCATATACACGCGCATGTACACATGTATATATGCATACTATCTTGTTCATCTTATAAAAAATGGCATAGCTTGAAATCGCTATTCAATCCATGAGGTAATAGAGTGTTTAAAGTGAAAATCCACCTCATTTCAGTATGACCTATGTGTTGTACCAGGTCCTCACCTCTCCAATTGGGAGTAATTTTTTGTATACCCATAAATTGGATGTTTGTGGGATCCTTATTGTGTATTATAGAGAAGTGCAGAGAGAGGCTATGTTTATCAAATCCATTGCGGATATTCCTAACATGTTCTTGAATGCGTATATAAAGAGGGCGTATAGTACGCCCTACATGTACAAGACCACAAGGACATACGATTGTATATATTACTTTTTTTGAATGACATGTAATTAATTCATTAATCTTGAAGATATGATTTGAGTTCTTAGGGTGTGGAAATGTTGTAATATGTCTTTTTTTATTATGGGTATTTTTACAGGCTATACAACTTCCACATCCAAAGAAACCTTTTGCATTATTTAAAAAATGTGAATTTTCCTTTTTTCTTATATGATTACGTACTAGTGTTCTCTTGAGGTTTGGAACTCCTCGATAGACTACAGTGGGTTTTTCTGGAAGTATGGAATTTAATGTATCATCGCTTCTAAGAATGGGCCAATACTTATTTACAATCCTTTTAATTTGTTTATTTTTACAGTTGAAATCCAATATAAGAGTGGGTTCATTCATATTGGTCTTTTCAGCTGTATCTTTATATGTTAATAAAGAAGATCTGTCCCTTTCTCTGACTTCTTCATAAGCCTCTTTTAGTAGTTGATCTTTATACCCTTTTTCTTTGAAATTTTTATAATGATGGATGCCTGATTTTCAAATGTACATACATCTGTGCAGTTGCGCTTTATCCTAAGTAGTTGTGCCTTGGGGGCATTAAGAAGCCAAGGAGAGAAATGGCAACTACTTTCTTGTATATAGCTATTTACATCTGTTTGTTTAAAAAAGGTGCTGGTCTTTAATATGCCATTCTCTACATATATACTGAGGTCAAGGAAATTTACCTGGGTTTTACTAAAATTGGTGGTTAATTTAATTCCCCAATCGTTAGACTCAAGGTGAGTTAAAAAAGTTGAAAGAGACTGTTCATCACCCCTCCAGATGAAGAACAGATCATCAATGTATCTGCGATAGGTCACGAGGTTCGCCCCCCCATCTGTCATCATTATAAATAAACTGTTGTTCCCAATGAGACATAAAAAGATTGGCATAACTTGGGGCGAACATCGTGCCCATCGCAATACCACATACTTGAATATAAAAATTATCTCCATACCAGAAATAATTATTCCGAAGTATCCAATCAATTCCCTCAATAATGAACTCTATTTGTTCTGGATGGAATCTATTGCATTGTTCCAAAAAGGTTCTAGTTGCAGTACAGACTCGATCATGGGAAATTATAGTATAGAGGGAAGTGACATCAGATGTTACTAAATAAAAATCATCTTCCCATTTGATGTCTGTGAGGGTTTGTAAAATACTAATTGTGCATTGTTGTACAATAGTTTGCAGATTTTTGTCAATGTACTGAGATAATCGACTCGATATTGATCCGATCCCGGATATTATAGGTCTCCCTGGTGGATTTGTTGAGTCTTTATGTATCTTCGGGAGATAGTAGAATACAGGTGTTTTAGGGTGTATTATATTAAGGAAATCATATTCCTTTTTGTTTAAAACATTCTTCAATTGACCTTTCTCTATTAATGTATT